ACATAGTGAACCCCATCTCTTTTTATTTTTCTATTTTTGAGACGGAGTTTCACTCTTGTTGCCCAAGCTGGAGTACAGTGGCACGATCTCAGCTCACCACAACCTCCGCCTCCTGGGTTCAAGCAATTCTCCTGCCTCGGCCTCCCGAGTAGCTGGGATTACAGGTGCCTGCCACCACACCCGGCTAATTTTTTGTATTTTTAGTAGAGATGTGGTTTCACCATGTTGACCAGGCTGGTCTCCAACTCCTGACTTCAGGTGATCCACCTGCCTTGGCTTCCCAAAGTGCTGGGATTACAGGTGTGAGTCACCGTACCTGGACTGACCAAGATCAAATCTTACCATATATCACCATGGGTTGTCTGTGACAAGGGACAAGGATGTTCGTAAATCACTGTGTGAATCTGAGGACTCTGTCTAGTTTTTTCCTTACCATCTCAGCCCCTCCCCCTTAGATGAGTAAGAAACTTTCATAAGACTGGACTAGTGACAAACTGGGACATCTGTACAATAGAACAGTACTCAGCAATAAAAAGGAATGAACTGTTGATACGTGCAACAACTTGGATAAACTTCAAGAGCATTAATCTTTTAAAAAATTCGTATTATTTTTAGAGTTGGGATCTCTGTCGCCCAGGCTGGAGTGCAGTGGTGGGATCACAGCTCACTGCAGCCTTGAACTCCTGGGTTCAAGGGATCCTCCAACCTTAGCTTCCTGAGTAGCTGAGACTACAGGCACACACCACCACACCTGGCTAATTTAAAAACAAAACAAAGCATTTTTTAGAGACAAGGATCTTGCTATGTTGCCCAGGCTGGTCTCAAGCTTCTGGCCTCAAACAACCCTCCTACCTTGACCTCCTGAGTAGTTGGGATGACAGGCATGAGCCACCACACCCGGCAGGAGCATTATTCTGAGTGGGGGAAAAAAGCCAAATCTCAAAGGGTCACATACTGTATGATTCTATTTATGGAACATTCTGGAAATTACAAAAGTAGAGAGATGGAGAACAAATCAGTGGTTGCTACAGATTAAAGCAGTGTGGGAAGGGTATCGGGTATCACTGTAAAGGAATTCTTTGTGTCCATTTGTATGTGGTGATGGTTAAAGGAATCCATACACGTGATAAAGTGCCGTAGAATTATACACAAAAACGCAAAAAAAGAGCATATGCAAAATGTAAAATCGAAGTAGGATCTATAGAGTTTATTTATTTATTTAGAGATAGAGTCTCGCTCTATCGCCCAGGCTGGAGTGCAGTGGCGCGATCTCGGCTCATGGCAACCTCCACCTCCTGGGTTCAAGCAATTCTCCTGCCTCAGCCTCCTAAATTGCTGGGATTACAAGTGCATGCCACCACACCCGGCTAATTTTTGTATTTTTAGTAGAGATGGGATTTTACCATGTTGGTCAGGCTGGTCTGGAACTCCTGACCTCATGATCCACCTGCCTCAGCCTCCCAAAGTGCTGGGATTACAGGCGTGAGCCACTGCGCTTGGCTAGAGTTTACTGGGTTTTTTTGTTTGTTTTTGTTTTTTGAGACGTAGTCTCACTCTGTAGCCCAGGTTGGAGTGTACGATCTCAGCTCACTGCAAGCTCCGCCTCCCAGGTTCATGCCATTCTCCCACTTCAGCCTCCCGAGTAGCTGGGACTACAGGCGCCCACTACCACACCTGGATTATTTTTTGTATTTATAGTAGAGACGGGATTTCACGGCGTTAGCCAAGGATAGTCTCGATCTTCTGACCTCGTGATCCGCCTGCCTCAGCCTCCAAAAGTGCTGGGATTACAGGCATAAGCCACTGCGCCTGGCAGAGTTTATTGTTAATTGTAATGTGACAATATTAATTTCCTGGTTTTAATAATGTACTAAAGATGTCACCACTGGGGAAACTGGGTGATGAGTACATGAGACCTCTCCTTACTAGTCTCCTGAGTCGATGATTTACTCACAATAAAAAATTCAGGCCAGGTGTGGCGGCTCACACGTGTAATTCTAGCACTTTGGGAGGCTGAGGTGGGAGGATTACTTGAGTCCAGGAGTTCCAGACCAGCCTAGGTAACACAGGGAGACACTATCTCTACAAAAAAATAAAATTTAAAAAAAGCCAGGCATGGTGGCATGTGCCTGTAGCACAGCTACTGGGGAGGTTGAGGAGGGAGGATCACTTGAGCCCAGGAGTTCAAGCATCTGGGACTACAGCTGTGGCCACCCCATCCAGTCCATTGTTTAATATCATTATTTGTAGACCGGGTGTGGTGGCTCACGCCTGTAATCCCAGCACTTTGGGAGGCTGAGACAGGTAGATCATTTGAGGTCAGGAGTTCAAAACCAGCTTAGCCAACATGGTGAGACCCCATCTCTACTAAAAATTAAAAAAAAAAAAAAAAAAAATTAGCAGGGTGTGGTGGTGCATGCCTGTAATCCCGGCTGCTTGGGAGGCTGAGGTGGGAGAATCACTTGAACCTGGAAGGCGGAGGTTCCAGTGAGCTGAGATCGCACCACTGCACTCCAGCCTGGGCAACAGAGCAAGACTCCGTCTCAAATAAATAAAAATAAAATTATTATTTGTAGAGATGAGGTTTCACCATGTTGTCCATAAAACAATGTTGCCCACCAAATTTGTGACAATTTGGTACACAGCAATAGCGAACTAACACATAGCATGCAAATACATAATGTGTCAGAGGTAAATGTTGCAGAGAAAAGTAAAGCGAAGTAAGGGGAATGAGAGAGCATTTGTGTGTGTATCTGTGTGAACATGCTGTTTGATAGAGTGCTCAGGGGACACCTTACTGTCTTGAATTGAAACATTTCACTGGTTTGTCTTCCAGTCAGCCTTTGGGCTCCATGGGAGCAGAAATGATCTTGCCCTCCCTGAATGCCCAGGGCCTGGCACAATGCAGGAGGAGCTCAAAAGCTGAACAAGGAAGTCCAAAAGTAAGTCTTTTTTTTTTTAAGACAGAGTCTCGCTCTGTCGCCTAGCCTGAAGTGCAGTGGTGCGATCTTGGCTCACTGCAACCTCCGCCTCCCTGCAACCTCCGCCTCCCAGGTTCAAGCGATTCCTCTGCCTCAGCCTCCTGAGTAGCTGGAACTACAGATGGGCGCCACCACGCCTGGCTGATTTTTGCATTTTTAGTAGAGATGGGGCTTCA